AGAGTAATATGTTGAGTGAATGATTTTGTGAAATAGGCTTTTTCTACCGATTTTTCTGGAGATTTTGGAATTTGCTGGATTGGTCTAATTTGGGATGAAATTAAGGTACAAGCAGCTTGACTATAAGTCAATACTGGAAAATCTGATAATAATTGAAATCTATTTTGAGTTACAGGAGTAAGACTCATCTCATAATCCTGAGGAGTCTTTGGCCTGGAATTTCCTGCTTTTGAATCCATATTCCTGCAAAATTTAACAAATAATTCTGTTAATTTTTTCTTTAAACTGTTTGATTTGGTTGTTATAATACTGAATATTTTCTTGAGGATATCCAACTTTTTTGAGGACGTCTTTGAAAATTATATAGGAGTTAATTTGTCTTTGGAAAAGAAAAACTTGTTCTTTTGGAGTAGTGGCAGCCCAAAAGCTGTGTCTGATATGTATTGTATCATGGTTTTGAATTTGATGGTAAGGAATGGGTTGAATTTCAGTTTCAGAGGTTTTGATATAATAGGTAGAATGTCTGTGTGAGATATTTGAATCTCTTCTTCAGAAAATAGGATTATCTCTTTCTGCTCGTAATCTTCGAATGTATTCTTGGTGAGTTTCACGTTCCATTTCCCTGTAGAAATTCTCTCGTTAAAAAGTCGGGGAGAGAATTTTCTTCTCCCTTTATAAATTCAATTTCGAAATCAAATACAAATAAAATAGCTTGCCATCTTGCAAATATTTGTTTTGAGACTATATTTTGAACATCCTTTTGCAAAATCTCTTTAGCAGATTTACAGTCTATTCTGATTAAAAATTTCTTATTGTATAAATCATCTTGAAATTTTGATATACATAAAACTATGGATAAAATTTCTTTTTTAATTGTCGAATAGTTTTTCTGAGGATCAGACCATGTTCCTGAATGAAATCTAACTAATTTTTCTTTTGAATCATTTATTCTTTGTTTTAATATTCCTCCATATCCTAATTCTGATGCATCTGTTTCAACTATCATGAATGCTTTAGGATGAGGTAAACATAAACATGGTAACGATTCTATTTTTTCTTTTTAATATTTTATTTTTTGAGTATGTTCCTCTGTCCAAGGTTTTGGATTTTTCTTTAATCTATTGAATAATATAGAACATTCTTGTCTTAATTTAGGAAAGAAATCTGCTATATAATTTAAACATTCTATAAATCTTTGTAATTGATTTTTGTCTTTTATCTCATCTGAAAATTTAGTAGCAAATTCTAAAGCTCTATTAATCGGTTTTATGGTTCCTTGATATATATTATGTCCTAGAAACCTTATTTTAGTTTGAAATAATTTCATTTTTGGGGCAGAAACTACTAATCCGTTTTTCTTGACTACTTTTAAGAATATATTCAAATGTTTGAAATGTTGTTCTATTGATTCAGAAAATATTAATACATCATCTATATAAACTATACTAAATGAACTGTAAGGATTAAAAATGTCATTCATTATATTTTGAAATTCCGATGGTGCATTTTTTAATCCAAATGGCATTACGTTCCATTCATAATGTCCAAAAGGTGTTGTGAATGCTGTTTTATATCTATCTTTAGGATTTATTAATATTTGCCAGTATCCTGATTTTAAATCAAACTTTGAAAAAATCTTTGCATTAAAAAGTCTATTAAGTAAATCTCTTTTATTAGGAATGGGATATCTAATCCATTGTAATACTTTATTCAATAGTTTATAATTTATTACTAATCTTGGAACTCCTCTTTCTTTTTCTGCTTGATTCATAACATAAAATGCAGCACAGCTCCAAGGGGATTTTGAAGGGGTAATTAATTTTTTATTTATTAATATTTTTATTTCTTTTTTATAGAATTCTAATAATTCAAAATTCATTTGTATTGGTCTAGTTTTAGTTGGAATATTTTTTTCATCAAATCCTGTTTCATAAGGTAATTCTATCATGTGTTGTTTTCTATCCCAAAAAGCATTAGGAATATCAGCACATATTTCCTTTTGTAATAATTCTTCTATTTCTATAATTCTTTTTTGTATTTTACTATCTCTTAATTGTTCTTCTATTTTTACATAAGATTTTTCTTCTTTGATATAGTTTATTTGTTGTTGTATTTTAGTAATACTATTTATTGTTTTGTAAATAGAAGAGGTTTGTAATATTTGTAATTCTCTTTGTTTAACTGGGGTTAGAAATCTAAAAATAACTGTTTTTCCCATTATATTTATTGAAATTCCTTCATGACTTACAAAGAATGGATATATTTGAATTAAAAAGATAATCAAATAAATAGAATAAGAAGAAAAAGAATTTATAATAATAATAAAGAAAATTGGAAAATGGTAAGCTCAAAAAATTATTATCCTAGACCTAACCCTCCAGATATTCAATATGAAGAAATAGATACTAAGTCTAAATATTGAATTTTTTGACAGGTGAAGGTACTAAGATGATATTGAACTCAGTGGAGCACTCAGTGGAGCACATTTCAGATTTTTAATATCATGATGATAACTTTTGCAAATATTCGAAATCGCTGTGCTGGGAAATCTTGGGAAGTTTTAAATAAACTTCTGCAGCAAACACCACTTCTAAATGGTTACTGGAAATTTCTCTCAAACCCTTCTTTAGTGAAAAACTAGTCCAGTAGGTTACTACTTCACTCCAATCTCTGTCCACCAATCAAACCCCTTATTGGGCCCGAACTCCACAATAAACACTAGTGGTAATACTCGAGTATATCAATTAGTCGAGGAGATAACACTCCACTCGACATCACTAACTACCCAGGGTTCGTTGTCTAATCGACCAGGCCCTTGCCAGCTCGACTCGACTAAATAGCCACAGGGTTTCTGGAATTCCAGGCAAGATACAAGTCATATGCACATATAGCAAGTCAATTGCATTTGATGAACAAAAACAAATCACATTAGGGCAAGTGTGATAAGTACACTCTTGTCCTAGCAGTTCACTTATATATCATATAATCACATTGGTCAAATATAGAACACAAATGTCAAGTCTAATTAGATATTTGGAAGCACTCACCAAAATGTAGTGCTTCAGTGATCCCGTCCGGGTTGTACTCCAGATTTGGAGTCCAAATCCGTGATAAAACTTTGCTTAAGAACTTTGAAAAACAACTAAAGTTCGAAACTTACACGTTTCATTCAATAAGAATCAAGTAATTGAAATTAGTTTGGAAAATATTCGTGAAACACTTGCTCGCTTTTCAAACTGGGACATTTTGTAGCAATTATACTTGGAAATATGATAGGTTGCATTTTAGTGGGTATTTTGAGCATTATTGCACAACTAATTGATTAAATATTTTCACTATTTGGGTGGATTCTACTGATATTTCGCTTTGATGCTAATTGCAGGATTGGATGCTGTAAAGTGCTTAAAATCAGAATTTAGAGGATTTGTCGTACGTGGGGCCCGCTTGAGAAGCTGAAGGCATTTAATTGTAATAGATTTTTACTTTATTTACATATTTTATTTGTGGGAGGTTCAGGTTTTCTTTTTTGTGGGCCAATGAGTATTCCCTTTTGACATTGGGCTTCATCGGTTGGCTTAAAAATGACAGATGAGAGCCGCAGCTTTGGGTGGGGGGAGCGAGTAACAGAAACAAGTTTTGCTTCTTGGCTTGTGTATTATTTTCTTCCTTTCATGATGGTTGACTTGGGACCTACCAACTGTTTGTGAATTGGTCTTTGACCAAAATCAATGAATTGAAGGATTTCCTCTCGTATGTCTCTTGAGCAATAGAAAGAAAGAAAACAAAGTGCAGCCGCCATTGTTGACTTGGTGGGTTCCCTCTTTACTCGATTGTGACAATAGAATTGGGAGTCCATCTAACGTATGCTTTAGAGGAAAATTGGCAGCAATAGAAAAGCTTCCTTGCGTTTTCCTCTGGGCTGACCGAAGCGAAGGAAAAGTGCTCTGCAAAACTCCCCCAAACTCCACGCGCCGCGTCCTTCCATTAATGGAGGGCTAATTCTCTAATTCTACTCAAGGGACAGCTGATGAATTGGTTCAATTAATGCTGTGAGATCTAAACCGCTTTTAATTATTTCCTCCGTTTATTGGTATTCATATGTTCTTTGCTTTTAACTGTTATAGCTCTTGTGTATGATTGATTAGTGCGCAATAATTAATTATTCATATAGGCTATTTTGCTAAATAGAGGTAATTGAATCCGTAATTGTTCGTTACCTCTATCCCAGTAGCAACTGGTATAATTGGGTTTATGTCAGGGGAATATATGATCTAGCTTAAATAAACCCTCGTAGCGTGTTTATTGGTTAGGATTGGGCCTTTCTAATTATTAATGCAATCTGGAAATTGAATCCTACGGTCGTACCTAGGGTTGTTTTTGGGTTAGAGAAATAGCTAACGGCCGTACCTTGGCTATCGATAAATTAAGGAAGGGTTGGTTGTTTAGCGCGTGCGAGACAACTAGAACCAATCTATTAGTAAATGTTGGAATTACCTTTGAATCAATGATCAGTGCATGAACCAGTTCTGAAGTATACCCTTGGCTAGAGTTTCTCTCATTTATTTCTTCTAATTAATTATTTTCTGCATTTAATTTGTTTAGTTGGCATTTGATACCAAAACCCCCCATTATTCTTGATTTGAAAAGAAACAAATATCTCTCCAGTCCCTGAGGAGACGACCCTGCTTACCACTGTCTACTAGTTAGGGAATTCAGTTAAATAATTAATTCAGGTATATCGGATTAAGCAAACTCTTCGGGAATAGGGTGAATCAAGTAACCCATTGCACACCTAGAGTCCCTGCTCCAGTACTCGAATTGATTACTAGCTGTTTCAGGTGGTAGTTAGGATTTATTTATTATTATTGCACAGGTTCGGCACCTGTCAATTTTTGGCGCCGCTGTCGGGGACTTGGTTTTTGAATTATTTGTTTTTTTTTGAATTCAGTTTTTATTTTGTTTTATTTTATTTTTCTTTTTCTTGGTACTTTTGCTAGTTTATGCCCCGTTCTTCTCGTACAGGTGACTTGGTATACGATCCTGAGGTTGAGAAGGCAGCGCGTAGGCGGAGGCAAGAGACCAAGAGACAAAAAGAAAGGCATTTATCTACTGCAAACGAGTCAACAGAAGACGAATTTAGCATGGCCAACACTCAGACATTAAGGGAGTTGGCTACCCCAGACCTGACTCATCAGCCCTTGTGCATCACGTTCCCAACTTTGGCTGAAAATACCTCTTTCGAGCTGAAATCGGGGTTGATTCAGCTCCTGCCTTCGTTCCACGGTCTTTCTGGTGAAGAACCCCACAAACATGTCCAGGAATTCGAAGTAGTTTGCTCTAGCATGAAACCTCCTGGGGTCACTGAGGAGCAAATAAGACTGAGGGCCTTCCCATTCTCTCTCAAGGATGCAGCGAAGGATTGGTTATACTACCTGCCTGCAGGTAGTATCACCACGTGGGCACAATTGAAAAAGAAATTCCTGGAGAAATTTTTCCCCGCATCCCGGGCTGCAAGTTTGAGGAAGGAGATTTGCAGCATCAAGCAATACTCCGGGGAGTCATTGTACGATTTTTGGGAAAGGTTCACCAAGTTGTGCGCTAGATGCCCACAGCATCAGATTAGTGAACAACTGTTGATCCAGTACTTCTATGAGGGACTCCAGTCAACTGATAGGAGTATTATTGACGCTGCGAGTGGAGGAGCTCTGGCGAACAAGACACCGAGGGAAGCGTGGGACCTTATTGAAGCCATGACAGAAAACTCTCAGCAGTTCGGCTTCCGTGATAGCAATCCTACCCGTAGAGTCAATGAGGCAGAGACGTCATCCATCCAGCAGCAACTGTCAGAGTTGACGTCTGCTGTCAGGCAATTGGCCATGAGAGACACACCGCGAGCAAAGGTGTGTGGAATCTGTACTAGCATGGACCACTGCACGGATTTGTGCCCCATTTTGCAAGAGGACGGGGCGGAACAGATAAATATGGCCGGAGGCGTGCCCGCGCCCCGCAGGCAGTATGACCCGTATTCCAACACATACAACCCCGGTTGGAGAGACCATCCCAACCTCAGTTATGGGAACAGGCAACAAGGTTCATTCCCGAATCGTCCACCAGGATTCCACCAGCCTTGGCAACCAAAATCTCAACCCTCATCCTCCAATTCAGGAAGCTCCTTGGAGGACCTAATCAAAAGCCTTCATCAGGAGATCAAAGCGGACAAGAAGGACCAAGACGCTCGAATAAGCCAACTGGCAACTGCCATTAACCGCTTGGAGTCCCACGTTTATGGGAAACTGCCATCGCAGCCCGAGGAAAATCCCAGGAATGTAAGCGCCATGACGCTGAGGAGTGGTAAGGAGTTGGAAGGGCCTAAAGTGAAAAATTCGAAAAGCAAAAGTGAGGAGGAGATAGAAAAGGAGATTGAAGAGGAAGGGCGCATTCGCGAAGAGCCTAAGGTAACATCTATTCCTTCGATCCCTATTAAATCTAATATAGCTCCTTTTCCTTGCAGGTTGGAAAAGACAAAGAGGGCAGAAAAGGAAAAAGAAATCCTGGATGTGTTCCGCAAAATTCAAGTAAACATTCCCCTATTGGACGCGATCAAGCAGGTACCCAAGTACGCAAAGTTCTTGAAAGACTTGTGCGTTAACAAAAGAAAGCTAAGGGGTGATGAAAGAGTGATGGTAGGAAAGAATGTATCAGCTGTACTTCAAAGGAAACTCCCACCCAAATGCGGAGATCCAGGTATGTTTGCTATCCCCTGTAAGATTGGCCATTCTAGTATCAAAAATGCCATGATAGATTTAGGGGCTTCTATTAATGTGATGCCTAAGTCAATCTATGATTCCCTAAATTTAGGACCTTTAAAAGAAACGGGGATAATAATTCAATTGGCTGATCGTACATGTGCTTATCCGGATGGGATAGTTGAGGATGTTTTAGTGCAAGTAGATAGATTAATTTTTCCTGCTGATTTTTACGTGCTTTACATGGATGATAGAAGTGCCCCAAATCCATCACCCATTATATTAGGAAGACCATTTTTGAGTACTGCCCAGACTAAAATTGATGTTAGTAAGGGTACTCTCACGATGGAATTTGATGGAGAAATAGTCCACTTTAACATTTTTGATACAATGAAACATCCTGTTAACTCTCATTCTGTGTTTGCTATGTATACCACTAATCCCTCTGTGCAAGAATTTTCTAAGTTTGCTTGTAGGGGTAGATTCAAAGTTGCTGCGAACAAGTCCTATAGGATGAAAGCAATTCATGAGGTAAAAATGGAGAGAAAATTTAGGAAAAAAGTTGCACTCAATGGCCATGTGGATCCTGGAGGAGGGCCACCAATTACAAGGAAAATTCAATTACATCCAGACTAAAGAGTGGTGCTATGTCTAGCCAAAGACATTAAAGAAAGGCGCTACTTGGGAGGCAACCCAAGACTCTTTGTTTTAGTTTTCATGCATTTTTGAAGTTTTAGTTATGTATTAGTGTCAATTGATGGTTTGATGTTTTGTGGCAGGAGATTAGTGGTTAGGCGTGCCCACGCCAGGTGGTCACGCCTGAGGGAAAGGAATTCTCGCTCAGGTTCTGCGAACTCCATAGTGGTTAGGCGTGCCCACGCCAGGTGGTCACGCCTGACGAAGGAAATTTTTGATCAGGTTCTGCGGACTCTATGGCAGTTAGACGTGCCCACGCCAGGTGGTCACGATCGAGGGGAAGAAATTTTCGATCAGGTTCTGCAAACTCCATAGTAGTTAGACGTGCCCACGCCAGGTGCTCACGCCTGACGAAAGAAATTTTCGATCAGGTTCTGCGGACTCTATGGCAGTTAGACGTGCCCACGCCAGGTGGTCACGTTCCAGGGAAAGGAATTTTCGCTCAGGTTCTGCAACCTCCATAGTAGTTAGACGTGCCCACGCCAGATGGTCACGTTAAAAAAAAAAAAAAAAAAAAAAAAAAAACCTTCCGTAGACCTACTTCTTCTTTTCTTCCTTTTTCTTTCTTTCTTCTTTTTTCTTCCTTTTCTTTCTTTCTCTTCTTCTTTTTCTTCTTTCTTTTCTCCTTATCCGCCGCCGCCGGATCGCGCCCATCGCCAAGCGCACTACACGCCGCGCGTTGCACCTCCTCTGCGCGCCGTTGCCCCCCCCGCGCAGCATCAGCAGCTCCAGCCCAAAACCTCGCGCGACACCGCCCCTGCGCGCGACTCGCTCCAGCGCGCAACCTGACCAAGGCCGCTGCCTCCTCCGCGCGTACAGAGCAGCCACTCCAACACAACCCCGCGACCAGCAGCCTGCCGCGCGCCCCATCTGAGCCAGCAGCACAGGATCTCCCCTACTCTCTACTTCGCAGCCACTGCCTCCTCCAAACCTCCGGTGATTTCTTTCTTTATTTCTCTGTCTCTAAGTAGCTGAGGCCAGATTACTAGCTTTTATTAGCTAATGCCAGATTTTAATTTCTTAGCTGAGGCCAGATTACTAGTTTTTATTAGCTAATGCCAGATTTTAATTTCTTAGCTGAGGCCAGATTTCTGATTTGCTAGCTGAGGACAGAAAATTTGTGCTTGTTTGGATGCTGTGGCATATCTGTGGATTGATTGTTGATTATTTGGTTAACGTTGTGCCCAACCAGTGATATTTGGGGAAAGCTTTTACTCTAGTTGTCTGTTTAATTAGTTTTTGGGGGAATTCTGCTGTGTTTGTCTAATTAATTAGTTTTTGGGTTGAATTTGTGGTATTTGGGGAAAATTTTGCTGCTGACAGGTTTAATTAATTCTTGGGGATGTGTTCATCGGCCGTTTCTGCACTTGTCTGTGATTGGAAGCTGTATTTAGTTGTCATTTGCTTTGTTGGCTGTTTGTTGACCTCTTTGGAATCCCATTTCCTTGCCTCCAACTTGCCCTCTGATTTCCAATGACTAAACCAAAAAAAATAAGGGCAAGAGCACATGGACACTCGTATGGATCGGATGGAGCGTCAAATGGGCGGGATGGCCCAGAATATAGCGCAGTATCTCCATCACGTGGGTTTCCGCCCGCCTTTCCCTCCGCAGCCATGATTTGAATTTCTGCCTTCCTCCGTTTTCAGGGAAGTGTCGTTGCCCCAATACCTCTAAGTTGGTCTTACTTTGCTTACATTGAGGGCAATGTAAGGTTTAGGTGTGGGGGAGGGTTAACTATGCTTTGGTTGTGCTTTTCGTTGTCTGATTGAGTTTTTCCTTGCCTTAGTAGTTGTCTTTTCTTTGAACGATGATGAATGCGAATTGGGATATAAGCGTACATAGTAAGTTCATGCCATGGGGTGTTCCACTTTCCTTGATACTGAATTGATTGATTAATATGCTGAACTTGACATCCATTTGATCACTTGTGCGATTTTTGGGCCTAATTTTTCGTTTTGTTGAGTGATTAGTGCACATGGTTTGTCATTCTAGAACTTGCTCGGTTATGCATGTCAAGACCACATTTTAATGAATTTAATGCATTGAAATGATAGGGCACCTAGGAATGAGCCATTTTGGACTTTCTTACAACTCACCCTTGGATTATTTTACCATTAGGGAGCCAAGTTGAGCTTTACATCCTATTTTTCGCTTGAGACCCTAGTTTTTAGCCGCAAAACCTCTCCTTAGACTTTTTGAACCTTGTGTGAAGAAGTGCTTTGATTTCATTATACAGAATTTTGGAGTATTACTTGAGGGGCATCATACCTATCTATGAAAAAAAAACAAGAGAAAAAAGAAAAAAGAAAAAGAAAGGTGCAAAGAAGACGAAGTGCAGGAAATCAACAAGGTTGATTCTTATGGTGCTGGTTGGGAGTTATTGTACAAAACTTATAAAAAAAAAAAAGGAAAAAAAAGGAGGAGAAAGAAAGAGTCAAAGGTCGTGGCAAGTGCTAATTCACTTCACTCGTGTGATGGTTGAGATGCCTTTAAATTTCAAATGTGCAAGAATCTGTGTAATGAATTTCTGAGCACTTTCTTTATACTTTTGCACCCTTTCTACTCCTTTTTATCCTACCTTTTCACCCTAGCCCCATTACAACCTTTTGAAGTCCCTTGATTGCTGCATTTAAATTCATAAGTAAGTGGTGGAGATATGATATAAGAGCAAGCTTATGGTAGTGCCATTCTATTGTGTTGATTTGAGAGCCATCTTATATACATTTCATATACACTTTGGAGTGAATGAGTGCACTTTGAACTGCGAGCGTTGCTGATTTAGTATATTCTGATTTCGATAAGGTTATTGGGGAACTTGGAATGCCATTCTTGGTGTGAACTGCTGTGAGTTGCTTAGCATCTTGATTTTACTTCTGAGTTAATTATGCTTGAGGGCAAGCATAGTTCAGGTGTGGGGGAGATTGATAGGTTGCATTTTAGTGGGTATTTTGGGTATTATTGCACAACTAATTGATTAAATATTTTCACTATTTGGGTGGATTCTACTGATATTTCGCTTTGATGCTAATTGCAGGATTGGATGCTGTAAAGTGCTTAAAATCAGAATTTAGAGGATTTGTCGTACGTGGGGCCCGCTTGAGAAGCTGAAGGCATTTAATTGTAATAGATTTTTACTTTATTTATATATTTTATTTGCGGGAGGTTTAGGTTTTCTTTTTTGTGGGCCAATGAGTATTCCCTTTTGACATTGGGCTTCATCGGTTGGCTTTAAAATGACACATGAGAGCCGCAGCTTTGGGGGGGGGTAGCGAGTAACAGAAACAAGTTTTGCTTCTTGGCTTGTGTATTATTTTCTTCTTTTCATGATGGTTGACTTGGGGACCTACCAACTGTTTGTGAATTGGTCTTTGACCAAAATCAATGAATTGAAGGATTTCCTCTCGTATGTCTCTTGAGCAATAGAAAGAAAGAAAACAAAGTGCAGCCGCCATTGTTGACTTGGTGGGTTCCCTCTTTACTCGATTGTGACAATAAAATTGGGAGTCCATCTAACGTATGCTTTAGAGGAAAATTGGCAGCAATAGAAAAGCTTCCTTGCGTTTTCCTCTGGGCTGACCGAAGCGAAGGAAAAGTGCTCTGCAAAACTCCCCCAAACTCCACGCGCCGCGTCCTTCCATTAATGGAGGGCTAATTCTCTAATTCTAGTCAAGGGACAGCTGATGAATTGGTTCAATTAATGCTGTGAGATCTAAACCGCTTTTAATTATTTCCTCCGTTTATTGGTATTCATATGTTCTTTGCTTTTAACTGTTATAGCTCTTGTGTATGATTGATTAGTGCGCAATAATTAATTATTCATATAGGCTATTTTGCTAAATAGAGGTAATTGAATCCGTAATTGTTCGTTACCTCTATCCCAGTAGCAACTGGTATAATTGGGTTTATGTCAGGGGAATATATGATCTAGCTTAAATAAACCCTCGTAGCGTGTTTATTGGTTAGGATTGGGCCTTTCTAATTATTAATGCAATCTGGAAATTGAATCCTACGGTCGTACCTAGGGTTGTTTTTGGGTTAGAGAAATAGCTAACGGTCGTACCTTGGCTATCGATAAATTAAGGAAGGGTTGGTTGTTTAGCGCGTGCGAGACAACTAGAACCAATCTATTAGTAAATGTTGGAATTACCTTTGAATCAATGATCAGTGCATGAACCAGTTCTGAAGTATACCCTTGGCTAGAGTTTCTCTCATTTATTTCTTCTAATTAATTATTTTCTGCATTTAATTTGTTTAGTTGGCATTTGATACCAAAACCCCCCATTATTCTTGATTTGAAAAGAAACAAATATCTCTCCAGTCCCTGAGGAGACGACCCTGCTTACCACTGTCTACTAGTTAGGGAATTCAGTTAAATAATTAATTCAGGTATATCGGATTAAGCAAACTCTTCGGGAATAGGGTGAATCAAGTAACCCATTGCACACCTAGAGTCCCTGCTCCAGTACTCGAATTGATTACTAGCTGTTTCAGGTGGTAGTTAGGATTTATTTATTATTATTGCACAGGTTCGGCACCTGTCAAAATACCATTTGAGGTGAAAGGACGAGGAAAATGTCTTTTTAGTAGTCGTTATTTCATTTCCCAAGGGTACAAGTTTGGCCAAGTTCTAACTTATATACCTCGATAAAAGAAGACGCGAATATCCTAGATGGTTCAAGTGGTATTCGCTCTCAAGCCTTACTCAAGTCGCAAGGGTTTCTACTTAGTCCTCAAGCGTAAATTTGGGCAGCACACCCTTTATATTTACCTACTTTCCAGCCATTTATGGTTTCATTCTTTTCCTCAATCAGTCCCAAAGTTACACACAAAATAATCTCATTTCAATAGCCGTTCAATAGGCTCAAAGTCATACAAGTACAAAATCAAGTTAGGTACATGTGTAGAAATGAATTTTAAGTCAAGAAACAAAAGACAGATTCACCGTCACTTAGCGTATCGGACACAACCAAAGTTACACTTATTAGATTGAGGTGTGATTTATACCGTTTCGAAGCTAAGACAGAGAGCTACACTTTTGATGAAAACCACTTAGTCCAGTTTCTAATGTATCCAAGTCATATTCCCAATTTACAGAACCGGATTCCCACCAACAGGCTAGTTAACTGCATTACAATCAAATGGCCATAACTCAAGCTATCGAAGTTCGATTAAGGTGTTCTTAGGGGCGTTGGAAACATAGGGCTAAAGATTTCATGTTTTGGCCAAAGACTAGTTTGATACGGATCAAGGTGAAAAAATGCAGCCAACGTGAGGCAATGTCAAAACTGTCCGCTAGACTCTACCTAGGGCAGTC